ACTCCTGAAGGAGAGACAGTGAGCAGCGTGCAGATCATATGAGCATGTCGGAAGCCGGGTAGTTGCTGTGAACATACTTGGCTCCATTGGTAATGTGCAGAGTGCCCTCTTCCTATTGGGCTTCTCTAAAGACTACTTTTTATCTTGAGTTTTTAGCACACAGTGAAATAGAACCAAGAAATCTAAGAGCTTATTTTGTATCATTATCAATCTTCTTGACTAGTAATAATTCCCTTTAGATAGAAAATAGTATAATTAATTGTACAGAATCCTTTTCTGCTGTTTTCATGAAGAGAGCACTAACTAGTGTTTTTACCACTCAGTTATATATTCAGTGTCTGTCATCAAATATGTATTATGTTTACCTCTGGAGGTAACCAACTTGAGTCACAGTTTAGCACATTACAAAACAGGTGTCTTGTAAGGTGGTAAGTTTTTTGCATTTGGGGTACAGATGACCAGGAGAATGTAAGGACAGTCGATGGGTTGTCACTGGAAAATGCAGCTATCTATACAGCTTTGCATTTATCAATAAATGGTATACTCCTCATACGGCCTCCAGCCACCAGCAAAAGAATACCCAAGAGCTATAAGCCCTGCTGTTTATAAAAGTACTATACTGTTATAAAAAAGTTAATCTACAGATTCTATTTTAAGTTATGTTGCTTGTAGAAAAATCTAAATAATTAATCTACATTTGTTAAATGGTTTATTTTATATTCAGTTACAAATTATGTATGTTCTTAGCTTTATTGTCCACCTTTTTACTAATATAATCAGCAAGATTAAAATGGCCATATATATTCTACTCTTCAAGGAAAATTGCCTTTTAACTGGTATCTAGAACATTCACAGTTACTCATTCTTTTGAAATTACATATTTTATAATCAAGTACTATGTTGTGGCTTGCTTCTCCTTATCCAGAGAATAGCTCTGCTTTTTCACCATCTCCAGTTATAGAGTATGCAAGCAGAAGTATCCAAACAGGCCAGGTGTGATAATGACTATGTTTGATCTCTGTACTAGCTTAGGAGACTGAGGCAGGAGGAGTAAGAGTTCAAGGCCAGCATGGACTGCATAGTAAGTTCTGGGTTAGCCAGAGCTACATAGTGAGACACTGTCTTTAAACAAATAAACCCAAATATTTCCAAGGAGGTAGACTAGCGTCTCTTAAACTTTAAATGCCAGAGTTAGAACAATTTTCTGAAGCTCAGCCTTTCATATTTTGCACAAGTTCTGAGTGCTGCTGCTGCAGTTGTTGCTTTGGGAAACCATATCTTTAGAAGCGCCAAAACACGCACAAGTGAGCTGCATATTGAGAGTGGAGGGGATGGTAAATGTGGGGCTAGTGTGCTGTGATGGTTCTGCCTAGAGCAAATTCATCTTCGTTATGTTTCCTTCGAATGTATAGTAAGATGAACAGACATGATTTAGTTTCTCTCTGTCCATTGCAAGTAAGAAAGAAGGCTTTGACTAGACCGCCTCTTTAATTGCAAAGGGAGACACAGATTTAAAAAGTATATTAGATACTGTGTAGTTTTCTTTTAGACAACCAAACTCTTAAGTCGGTGGTGTCTGTGTATAACAAATTAGTGGACATAAAAATTCTTAAGTTGGAACCCAGGTTGAGCAGTAATAGGTTTCTCTGAACAAATAATATTATTACTCTGTCAGATGTGTTTATTATAATAATGATCTTTGGGATACATGTGAGACACAGTGAATAAATTCTTTCTTTGCAATATTCTATTTTACCTTCACAACCTAAGAGAAAATTTACTTCTAATGATTTTCTTATAAGGTGAAAATTAGAAGTTGGAGGGACCAAGAAGCTTGTTCGAATATATGAATCATTCCCGACTAAATGGATCTGATTCCAGGGCCACATATGATGTCTGTCTGCCTGTGTGGAAGTACCTCACAGCTGCTTCTCCTGAGAAAAGGGTTTTTTGCAGACCTCATTCTGGGACATTTGAATCCAAATAGAGACTAGATAAGTCTGCTGTTCTCCACAGTCTTGAGACTTTTTCCCATATCACAGAGCAGTTTATGCTTTTGTAACTGAGAAAGTCCTGTCTCCCGTGGGCCACTTATGTATAAGGCTGAAAGTTTGAGAATGAGTCAAGATGACACACTCAGAGTAACTTTTTTTTAACATCTATGAATGTATGTTTGTATGTGCTTAGGGGTGTGTATGTGTTTAGGGGTGTGTGTGTGTATAAGGTTGATGTCACGAATCCTTGATAGCTTTCAGTCTTACATGTTGAGGCAAGGTCTCTCAGTTGAACCCAGAGCTTGCTAGTGTGACGAGTATAGCCAGCCAGCTTATTCTAGGAAATCTTTTGCCTCTGCCTTCCATGTGTTAGAATTACAAGCAAGCCCATATGCTCACCCAGTGTTTCTCAGGTTCTGGGATCCAAGCTCTAAGCCTCAGAATGTAATGGCAAGCCTACCTGAGCTATATCCCTCTCCCCCATGCACCAGGTAGCTTCCTTAGTCAATTCACTTTTATATTTAATACATGGGTTCTTATCTATTTCATGTGAGACACAGTGAATAAATTCTTTCTTTGCAATATTCTGTAAACCCACATTCACAGTTTGATGTTTGAGGTCATGTGCCTTTTTCTTATGAGTGCATAGGGGGTTTTTTTAGCATTTCAGAGAGTTTGTGCCTTATTGGTGATCCCAAGAATATACGGAAAAACACTTATATCTGTCAGTAGATAGGGTTTCTTTTAAATAAGCCAGAGATTAATGTTTATGTTGATGCTGACTGGTGTTCTGTTGATACTAGCAGGTGTCTCTGTCTTTTAGGAGATGCAAGAGAAACTTCAGAATTTTGCACAGTTACCTACACACCGGGTCACAGACTCCTGCATAGTGGCACTCCTCTCACATGGTGTAGAAGGTGGCATTTACGGTGTGGATGGCAAACTGCTTCAGGTGTGTATAATTTTGTGGAAATTGCCCATTGAAAATAGCTCATTCTTCCTGCTTGTCGATTTGGATCAGCTAGTTTTTTCTTGATGTGACCAAATACCTGAGAAGAAGCTTCTAAAGGAGGATGTACTTTGGCTCATGGTTTGAAGGGATACAGTGCATCATGCAAGTGGGACGTAAGGTGCTTTGTTAAATAATGGCACCTGAATATTTAATACTTCTGGGCATAGAACATCCTCAGCGTTTTTCAGAGTTGAATAATTCTTCATTTATACAGTATTCTGTCTGCATGTACACCTGCACAGAAGAGGGTGCCAGATTTCATTACAGATGGTTGTGAGCACCATGCAGTTGCTGGGAATTAAACTCAGGACCTCTGGAAGATCAGCCGGTGCTCTTAACCTCTGAGCCATCTCTCCGGCCCCAATTCTTTATTTTCTAGTCAGTGCTAAGAACATTGCTTCACATGAGTAGATAATATAAAATGGCAGCTGTATGGGCTTTTTCATAAATTGTTGAAAAAGCTGTCCCAATACTAAACCAAAATTCATTCAATAATTTTTTTTAATGAAATTTAATCCAGCAATTCAAAAAGCAGTTTTTAAAATCAAACATTCTAACAGCACAGTCCAAAAAATGACCAATCTTATGTCAGTGCTGAAGAGTGAAGTAATCTAAACTAGGTGTTTAAGGCAGATTTGCTGGCATGTGCAGTGCAAAGTGCACAGAAATGTTCAGAACTAAGACTGAAATGAAGTCATATGGTAGAATACCAGCAAACACTAACAAACACCTCAGGTTTCTTATGCATTTGATTTTTAAATGAACTGTTGGCTATTGTAAATGTAGAAACTTTTCCATAAATCTTTTGGCAACCCCCACATTTAGACCTCATAGGAAGTTACAACCTATAGTTTTAAGAAACTGTTCTAGGGGCTAGAGAGGAAGCTAAACAGAAACATTTACTGCTCTGTAGAGGACCCAGGCTTTGTTCCCAGTTTCCACATCAGGCAACTCAACAGCATGTCATTCCAGTTCCAGAAGACCCAATACCCTCTAGCTTTTGTGGGTGTCTGCATGCACAAAAGGCCTATACACTAGTGCAGGCACACATAACATAAATAAACATAGTAGATCTTTAAAAAAAAAAACAGATCCTAAGTCCTATCATGAGGCACCCAAATGCATCACATTTAAACCATACATAACCTGCCCCTGGTTCTCTAAGACTTAGTCAGCATCCCATAGTGAAAAATACATCTCCAAGCATCTTCTATGTTTTAACACTGTTCAAAAGTACAACTCTAAAGTACTATGAGACTGGGGGTAAAATTTAAAACAATGCAAAGAGCCAACCAAACAATATTATACTCAATATACAATGACAGAGTAAATATTTCTGTTCCAAAAATAAAGGAATGGGGTCATAATAACAAAAATAGATGAAAACAACACTGAAACCCTCCTGAGTGAATAACAAATCTCACAGTTCTACATTCAGCATCTGGGGTTCCTCATTACATCTTTTGCTCCAACTAGCATGATAAACTTGCCCTTCCAGCTTTAGCATGTGCCTTACACACGCTGTTTGGGGACTGCTTCACTTGGTACCAACAGCTTTCCATGGCAGAGGTCCCACGTTTCTGGTTTCTTCGTTATGTGGGGTCTCCACTTAGATCTTAGTCTTCACCTTCGGTTTCACTCACTTAAGAGTTCAAACAGATACCCAGCCCTGCTGAGGCTACGCATTGTATGCCCTCGGTGACTTTCAGGAACCTCGGTGCAAGTATCTGATTCCACCTCCCTCTCTGCTGCCAGCTTGAGATGTGGCCTGACCCTCTTAAGCCAAAACTAAAGCAGTCTCTGCCTTTTTAGTGAACCTTGGAAAATACTTTCCTGGGTAGTGCATACAGCAGGGTACACCTAAGGATTGTTTTTGCAGGTATTCTGCTTTGTTTGTATTTGTATCCTCAACCCTGGAACTCTCCTGGTTGGGAACTTTGCCCCAAACCTCTTTGCTATTGTCCAGTGCAGAGTTCAAGTTTTACTATAATGGCTCTCTCCTATGATATCTAGTACTGGATTCCAGTCATCCTTGAGGACACAGTGTTCCCTTGGACCTTTGACACCTGAGAGTCTGAGGGGTTCTGGTAAAAAATAAGAACTTCCACCCTGTCCTTAATTTTAAGCATGCTCAGGGCCTTTCTTTATGAAACTGCATTTTTATATCTTTATGCTGTACACTCCACTTACTATAAATGTGGGTAAATTTAATGAGCAGTAACCGTATCATACAGCCTGAACGTTTTGCTAAAATATCCTTGGCTAAACAAATTAGTCCATTATTTAAATTCAACCTCAATTTTTTGAAATACGGACAGACTGTATCCACATTCCTCACCATAGTGGGACACAAGCTAAGTACTCTTTGGAGTCCTTGTTCCATTCTGTGATCTCTTGAGCCTGGCCTGTGCTAGCATTTCTCTTAATACTTTGGTCTCATGAAAACACATTAAAATGGCCCATGAAGTTCAGCTCACAGCACTCTAGGGCTTCCTAGCCTACAGCTTCTAATTCTAAAGTAATTCTAATTCCACATTCCTCCAGCAAACTAGTTCCAACGGCCTGTGAACACGTGGGAAGGGTTATCACTGTATTGACCCCTCTCTGGTACCAGTTGTTACTGTTAGTTTTCTTGAGCTGAGACCAACTACTTAACAAGAAGCAACTTAAGGGAGGAACAGTTTGTTTTGGCTCTCTATTTGAGGGTATAATCTGTTGTGGCAAGGAAGCCAGCTCTCCTGTGGAGACAGGAGCTTGTAGCTGCTTATTTGCATTGGGTAGATCATGCAGCATAAAAAAAGAGATGCTGGCATATCTGGCTTCCTTTCAGTCTGGGCTCCAGGTGTTTCCTCCTCAGTCAATTTTTTCTGGAAATTGAGTGTCCTCAAAGGCACACTAAAGTATGTCTCCTAAGGAATTGTAATCTCGTCAAGTTGACAAGATCAGCCATCACCCCATCTTTCAGATGATGGCTGTATTTGTATGTGTTAGACTTCAAGAGCTCTCACTGGCTACCTAACTTTTCCTCTCCCATATTTGTTTCCGGAAGCTCCAAGAGGTTTTTCGACTTTTTGACAATGCTAACTGTCCAAGTCTACAGAACAAGCCGAAAATGTTCTTCATCCAAGCGTGTCGTGGAGGTGAGTGCCCTGGCAAACCAGCATCTGGGTGGTGGCTCCTGGGCAGCCTCCACCAGCTCTCACTTTCCTGTTTGCTCCTCTCAGGTGCTATTGGATCCCTTGGGCACCTCCTTCTGTTCACTGCTGCCACCGCCTCTCTTGCTCTGTAAGTGTCTCCCAATGCATGGGGTGTGCTAGGACTTGGGCAGCCCATGGCTCTCAGTCTGACCAGCTCTGTACACCCCCATATCCTGTTCTCCAGAATCTCATTAACTCTTTTCTGCTTATTAACTGCAGTGTACTTTTTTATTGTCTCTCATTCTAGCTTTCTGCTTATCTCTTCCAAATCTTCCTTTTCTGACCCCTCTTCCATTTTCTCTCTGTACTGTGGTCACGCTTCTATGCGCCTGCCTCTTTTCTTTACCATTCTCAGAGCATGCAGGAGAACAGTACAGAATTCATGTCTGCCTCGGACTCTCCTATGCTGCTTCTAGCCTCCTCTTTCTTGCATGCAGTCTCTTCTACCCCTTTAAGAGCCAAGCCTGTGTAACACGGCTCAGAAGACGCACAGGCCTCCTTCTCATCTTAAGGAAAACAGTAGTAATTAAGAGTCTAAATTTGGGGTGAGATTGTGACTGTACTGCTTAATAATTATGTGAAGTTAGATAAGTTACTTCACATCCCTCCACTTCATTTCCTTCTTAAAAACTGTGGGTAGTCATTATATAAAACTTCTTTACGCTGTTGTGATGATTAATGATAAATCTGGAGAGAGCTAGCCATGGCAGCTACAGTGTAGTCAGCATCTTCAAAGGCCTTACAGTTTGGGTTAAAGTTTGCATTATCCAAACATGCAGGTGCCTTATGTTTCCCTCTGTGCCACCAGAGTGTATTTTAAGGTCCTGCAGTGACAGTAAATACCATCACAGAAGCAGAAGAAAATGTATAAGTACGTCTAAGTAGTATATGTACTCAGGAAATAAAAGCAAGTATATGTGGGGCAGTTTGAGGTTAGTTCTCATGCAAGGGTGAAGTTCATGTCCTAGTAGCTGTACAAGTAATAGGTACACAGAAATGATAGATTGTTTTATCTGAGGGCTTCCTGAAGAAATTTTTATGGCTAGGGAAAGGCTTAACTTGGATCATTGATACGTACTTTACACAGGTGTGGAGAGAGTTTCCAAGAAAAGTGATGGTGCACGTGACAAACACAGGATTGTAAAATGTACACTCTAGTTATATAGTGTACCACAGTGTATTGCACATGCGTGTGTGCGTGTCCACACGCCTGTAATATGTCACATATCTGCAGTGCTCAGACCTACAAAGCTAAGAATCTCTGTCATTGATGGCGTGAGATGTGGCTGTTCATAGGCTGTTGGTTCAGCTAATTACAAACCTTTGGGCATAGCTGAGATTTTGGGCTTCAACAAATAATGCTTTGGGAGTTTAACGATGAAATAAATGTGGTACATTTTACAAGGAAAGTTAGCATGGAAGGGAGCTGCACTAAAAAAAAAAAAAAAAAACATGTGAGGGCAAGCATTTTTCATTTATAGATGTTTCCCCAAGCCCAGAGCATTGCATTACACACAGTAGCACTTAAAAATTTTGAGTGAATAAATGAACTTATGTATAGAAATTGCAATACTGTAGAAAACAATTGTGAAGAAGAGATGGGTAATGTTTGTTGAATAATATGCCTGAAACTTGAAGGCAAGAGGTAAGCTTTCCATCCCCTGAAGGAGCTTAGGCTGACCTAGATCCTTTAAAAGGCAGTAACAACAAAGGAAAACATTAATGGTCATTTTCTTCCTACCTCAGAAATGTAAGTATTGCTGGGGATGGAAGAAGAAATTCCGTTTTTTTTTTTGTTTTGATTTTTGGAGTAATTTGAATCTTTTGTTGTGCCTATCCAATGTCTAAATGCAGTCCATTAAAGTATAATCTGAAGCTGATTCTTCTCTGAAAATTCGAATTTACCAATCTTCTTGAAATATGATGATTGACTCTTAAGCTAGAGGGTGAGCTTGTTAAGAACATAGTTTTTGGTTTGGTTTTTATTTTGTTCTGCTTTGTTTTTAACTCAGTGTGTCCCTAGATCTCAGTAGAAGACAGTTCCTGGTAGGTGGTACATAGATGATGCTTAACTCTTTTCTGAGTCAGTGAATCCTGGTCCTTTCACGCAAAGCTCTTCAAACATCAGTTGGTCTTGTGAATCTCACTCAGGAGGTCCTGTGAAAGGGCATACTCTTAGGTTTGGTGTGCTGATGCACACACCTTCATTCTCTCCCTTTCTCCAGACATGATTCCTGCCTAACCCTAAAATAAACAGCAGCCTGTTATTGTCTATTTTGTAGAAGAAAATTTTTAGTTTTTCTAATTTTAAGTTCTTCCTTTTGAACTTCTCTAAGTCTTGGATGCCTGCTATAATTTGTCTTACAAACTTAATAAACAAGTATGGAAAGTTACAGAAGTGTAAAAACCACCTTGAAAACCACTGATCATATTCAGTCTCATTTTTTTAAACTGATAACATAGTTTGAGGTTGTAATTTTAATGTAGAATATGACTAGTAAACAGACTTGGTTTCTTATAAGACTGAATATCACCATTTTACTGTCTAATACAGAATAAAAAGTGTTATTTCTATTCATTACTAACTGAAAGGGTTAATGTGATGATTTCTAACTCCATTTGCAAAAAGTACTTAATTTGGCACTTTGACACTTTGCAGAATGGGACGTGTTCTGGCCTATATAGGTACATCTGCCTGCCTTTTAGAAGTTACCCCTTGAGCAATGGATGCGTATTTAGAAAGTAATGACTTTTTAATTAATTTTTTTTTTTTTTATTCATTAGTTACAGGTTGGAGGCAACAGCTGAAAATGGCTCTTCAGTCAAGATTATAGGGAACTTGGGTGTACCTGTGTCAGATACATAAAAGACGGGAGAAAGTAATATCTTTATCTCGTCTGTTGGTCTTTTTACAGATGAGACAGATCGAGGGGTAGACCAGCAAGATGGAAAGAATCATCCACAATCCCCAGGATGTGAGGAGAGTGATGCTGGCAAAGAAGAATTAATGAAGATGAGACTGCCTACTCGCTCAGACATGATATGTGGCTATGCTTGCCTAAAAGGTATTTTGAGACACAATATGAATACAAATACTGTCCTAGGTGTGGGTTTTGTTTTGTGCTCTGTTGTCTTCATACTGAGGTCTGCTTCATACTAGGGAGGGTAGAAGATGTGGTAGAAGTCTGGCTTTGTGAAGATTGCCCATGACCTTCACACCTCTGGTTGTAGGCAATGCTGCTATGCGGAACACTAAACGGGGTTCCTGGTACATTGAGGCACTCACTCAGGTGTTCTCTGAAAGAGCTTGTGACATGCATGTGGCCGACATGCTGGTTAAGGTAAGTCAGTGTTAAATGGCTCTATAAACCGTTGCATCTCCAGTGTTCTTCCTTCTTGCTTGCACACTTTATTCTTCTACCCTTCCAGTTGGTCTGTATCATGTAGCACAAAGTAATCTCAGACTTTGGACCATTGGTTCTGCCTCCTCAGGTGAATGCCCTTATCAAGGAGCGGGAAGGCTACGCCCCTGGCACAGAATTCCATCGATGCAAGGAGATGTCTGAGTACTGTAGTACTTTGTGCCGGCAGCTCTACCTGTTCCCAGGCCACCCACCCACGTGATGCCACCCGCCACCCGCCACCCACATGATACCATGCTTTTGGAAGTCACTGGACCACTGGGGGCACAATGGAGCCTTCTCTTCAGGATGGTTTTTGTTTTATTTACTCCCTCAGGGATCTTGAGACTCCCAGACTTGATTCCCTTTGGCCTTCTCCATCATTGGGTCTGAGACTTAAGGGCTGCTCCTTCAGTGTGGTGCTCTCTCCCTGTAGAGCCAGCTCTGAATGCATTTGTTGCCAGAAGCATTTTGGCTACAGCCAACG